AGTAGTTTCTTGTTCGAAACTTCCAAATCAGTGAAATCTAACTTGTTACGGTTCAACAATACGCTGAATGGCGGAAACAAGAATGATTTTGGTGTTTTAGGAAATAAAATTTCCATAAACATCAAAGTTAGAACATTTAGGTTCTAAGACATGGTTTGGTTTAAACAGATTTAAGCATAGAGAATTCGGGTCTTAATATGAGTGTTGTGCAAACTTTAGGTTTCTATGGCACTTTTCCGAAACTTCGGGTTCGGAAGTATGAACTTCAGGTTCATAATAACTGCAAACAAATGCAAAATATACAAGAAAAAAAAATGCAATAGATAAATGCATGTAGGTCTTCAAGGCCTATGGTAGTTATTTAATTAATTATTGATCTTCGGGCCAATGGGAAGAATTGGGAGAAAAATATATACCCAAAGTGCCTAAAAATTTTTTAGGCAATTAAAATTGGTGACCCAAAATGGACCAAAGCCTACAAGGGCTTTAAAAAAAAATGGAACCATGAAGCCCAAACCTAAAAATTGGGCTAGGGTCACTTCGGGCTAAGCAGTGCAAGAAGCAGGCCCATAATTGGGCAAGATCCATGAACCCAAAAAAGGGCAACGATTGTGTGTTTCGCAGGCATGGATGCACCAGTATACGACATTGATCTGGTGTAGCACGATGCAGGGGAGAACCACATGTATATGGGATTGTGATCATGTGCTTTGCGGTGTATAGAGCACCATAGCCTCACGGGCTGATGTCATGCTGGCCGAGCCAAAGCAATGGGCCGCAGCATGGGAGCCCAAAAGAACAAAAAACTTTGTATTTTTTTTTCTTTTAGGCCAAGAAGAAACCAAGGCCCAACTAGGCTCGGGTGGACCAAAAAAAACATCCCGGCCATTGCTGGGTGTGCTCGCCGAAGAAAGAAGTCGGCGCCGTTGCTTTAGGTGGCCATGCTTTTGGTCAGGAAAACTTGGGGTGGGTTCGTGGTTTAACAACAACCATGATTGGTAATGGAAAATAGATATCGACGTTCAAAATCAAGAACCCTAGAAATTTAAATGAGAACTTAGAAAAATCCGATGAGATTCAAATGAACCTCGACCAAAAATCCGTCAGGGACGATCTTCAGGTTATCGGGGACGTTGACCCATGGCGGTAGTGTGGCTGCAGGCCAGACTTGGCCATGGTTTTGGTGATGGCGACGCCATTCATGGCGTCGGGTCTGGGTTCAAGCCTGGAGCAATTACTCTGTGGCGTGGCTCGGGGTTAGCTCAACTCTATTGGCTCAAGATGCTAGTCTAGCATGCTGGGCTCGGCGGCTTGCTCAGTGGGAGGGGTTTTCAAACCCTAATTTATATATATTTTTTTTTCAAAATATAATTATGCATATATAGTTGATCTATATATAATTTCATGCAATATCAATTCCTTTAATTCAAAATTATAAGTATAATGCATACACAATTTATGTAGAATTTAAAATTCAAAAAACGTAAAGTTGGGTTATGCATTATGATGAATGTCCATGCTATCAGGATTACAAAAATATTGAAATAAAAATCGTTCTTTGGAAGAACTGATTGCGTGACGATATTGATGAATTGGTTTGGTGCTGAAAATTATTTCTTCAATTTCGGCTTTCCATCTCTAAAGCTTGTATCACGTTCAAGAAAAAAAATTGTAAATTGAATCAATAAAAGTATATGAATTCAATAAAATCAAAATTTAATCAATTAATAATAATTGAAACGTAATACTCCCCTGATTGAAGAATAACCACATCATATTTCTTAGCGCAGCGGATGAACGTGCTGATAACGTGTTGTAGCTTATATTTAAGTGAGAGGTGCAGCATAGAGAGAAAGGGAGTGGAGAATAGACTTGAGTACTTGTGTGTTAATTTCCCAGTCCTTGTGCCCTTATTTATAATAATAAGGAAGTGAGAAATTTGCTCTCTAAGTAATACAAAGTCTATTAGGAAAGATCTTTTAGATCCCAAAAGATTTCTAATCTATCTCTTCTTAGGATTTACATAATCACAATATGTATTAGAACATATGTCACAACACTATGTAAATATACGTTGATGGTGAAAATAAAGCGGTTGATCTTAACAGCCCTCGGCCTTTCGGTGAAATCAAAGTATTTGATCGGGACCGTGCATTTTAAACTTTGGCTGTTCTTACCCCATATTTCCTTAGCTTTAACCACAGTTTCATTTTATTGGAACTTCCTTCAATATTGGTGCATGAATTTATACTTGAAAACCACGACATGGGTGGACTAAATAAAAGGAAGCATCAATCAATACTTAACTAGTATGTTATGGAGCTACTTGAATATTTCTATTGTTTGTACGGAGCAAGTGGGCAGACCAGGAGTAAAGCCAATCCCCCGCAAATAGTTGAACTGAGCGTGCAGGCTAGGAAAATGACATCATAAGTAGAGGCGTCCTAACCTATGTTACCTTTTTGTAATGTAGGTATACTGTATGTACTTGCACTTGAAGGAAAATCAGCTGATCATTAAGATATTTTCTATCCTTTACTCAATCCATTTTTAATTAAATCATCGTTTTTTTTCCTTCGAAAGGACGATAATGGATTAGATGAGTTGAGTTATACATAAAATTTGCTCGTTGAACCAAGATCCTAAGATTAGTCATTAACTACAAGTAGGCTTCCTTCCCGCTCAAAGCAATTACAAAGAGCTATAACTCCCTGATAGAACAAGGCCGCCCTAACCCCCCCCCCCCCCCCCCCATGTCTTCCTTTCCGCTCAAAGCAAATAGAAATGGCTATAACTCTCTGATAGAACAAGCCCACCCCAACCCCCTCCCCCAACACCCACCCCCCCTCCCCCCCTCTCTTTTTTCCCCGCATCCTATTAAATAAAGAAAAGTGGAAACAAAATGATACAAATGAGAGGACGAAGCCAAAATCTGCCAAGAGAAAAACAAAGAAACATTAACAAAAAAAAAAAACAGCTAAGAGCTAAACCCACTGTAACCACTCAAACAAGAACTCGATTTATCTATCATTCTGAGCTAAGTTATAGGACAAACACTAGATTCATTCTATACTTAGATGCCAAGTTTATTTATTAAGAATGGGAAAAAGTAAATAATTTAAGAATTTAAGATTACGAGAAGTAAGGAATATGAATCAGATCTATCTCTAGTTGATCAAATTTCTGATTTCAAGAACTTTTACTAAAAAAAAAAAAAATTACGAAGAATTTTATTTTACCACTATTTATTCTCACAACACAGTAGAAATAAATTTTTTTTCTTTTTTAAAAAACACAGCAAAATCAAACTAACCCTAAATAAGATCAACTCTATGAATCCTATAATATCATTTCACTCGATTTTGCTTCAAATCTTCCGTGAACTCCAAAAAAATATAAAATGCACTTTCTAAGATAATTTGCATCTCTCATTGAAATATGTTCACCATCGATATGTTGTACAAGGTAACATCCAATCACCCAATAATCAACATAAGTTCTCCGTGTCAAATGGAGAGCATGTAAAACTCTTTGTAAGTGACTTCAAGCTTTAGAAGGTAAAATAAATAAGGGTAAAGTACAAAAAACTACCTCAATTATTGAGATCACGACAGTTTCATATCTCATTTTTTAAAATTGACAATGTCATACCGCATCTTACGAATTTGTGACAGTATCATACTTCCGTCAATTTTTCTGTTAGCTTTTCTGTTAAGTGCTGACGTGGCAAGAGACGGGGACCACTCACTAATCCAGCTGGATTAAAAAATAATTAAATATTAAAAAATTAAGAATAAAAAAACAAAACAAAAAAATTTCCTATAGATTCCAATACAATTTCACATTCTACATCCTACATTTGATCAATGGAAATTGAAAAGGGTACAATCTATCGAATTTCAAAAGACTCGCTCTTTTCGGCGCCAAGTACTGAGCTTCTCGTCAAGATGAGCGCAGTAGAGGAACTCGTGATTCGGATTCGGAAGCACATCGAGAAACTTGCCGCAGCCGCGAGACAATGTGGCGGAGAAAAGCGGCGTCTCACACTGCAAATCGAACACCACCAGCTATATCGGGAACAAGACGAAAAGAATGTGACGCCACTATGGCGAGAATGCAAACCTCACGGCATAGATCGGGAACGCCGCCGAGGCCGACGACGAGTTCCCGGAGACTCCACCGGCCAAGTCTCTCTCCAGGTTTAGCAACTCGGTGGAGTCGGTCCGAATCTGAAGCTCCTTGATGAAGACATTGGATTCTGTCTCGCTTAACATGGTGACAGAGAGCAAGAATCCTTTGAGCCCGACGACACAGAAATGGCGCGAATTGAATGGGTCACGGCGGATGCAGGAGAGAATTTCAGGCGCCGCGTCGTATTTCCAGAGGCATCGGCCGGTGGAGCTGTTGTAGAGGGAGAGGGAAAAAGGGACGAAGATGAAGATGGGGAGGAGACATAGATGGGGAGAATTTCGGTTCTTCCTCCTTCTCCTGGGGGAGGCGGGTGGGGTTGGGGGGTTAGGTTTTCAAATTTTTCAAATTTCTATCAAAATTTTTTTAAGCAGGAAGAAGATGAAGATGGGGAAGAGAGAGGGGGGAAGCGACAACTAAGGTTTTTTTTTTTTTTTTTTAATTTGATTTATTATTTTAAAAAAATATTAAATATTCTTTTTAGTTTTTAATAATTTTTTAATAGAAAGTGGTTTTCAAATCAAGCCACATCAGCAAAAACTGATGGAGGTCTGATATTGTCACAAATTCGTAAGATGTGGTATAACATTGTCAATTTTAAAAAATAAGGTATGAAATTGTCGTGATCCCAATAATTGAGGTAGTTTTATGTACTTTATCCAATAAATAAATAAAAAGCATCCAAAGCTCCATTTGCCTTTGAATTAAACAAATAAAATAAAATAATTAAAGTGCTGGCGTGGATTTTTCCTTTCATGCAAACAGCTCACTCTTACAAATCACAAGTCACAGGTCACAAGACTCCACAACCCTCAATCTCCATTAAGAACTGCAACAACCAACGGTCCAGATTTGCTCCACAGTTTCTGGCTCTTCTTTATCTTCCCCACCTTCGCTTCACCCCCTCTCACTCTTTGCCTCTCTCTCTCTCTCTCTCTCCAGAGATTTAGAGAGAATAGCAGTTTGTAGCCTTTTCAGGTTGTTAGTAGTATAAGCAGAGAGGAGAAAAATGTTGTTGGGGAAGAGACCAAGGCCTCCAATGAAGAGGACCACAAGCATGTCAGAAATCACCTTCGATCTGAACACCATTAGTACTGGGGCACCTCATTCTCAACCGTCCGATCCCAACAACCCTTATCAGCCTCCGGCCTTATGGAGCAGTGGTGGTGGTGGTGGTGGTGGGCTTGATGGGTTGGATCAACGGCTTATGATGAAGTTGCCTTCACCATCATCAGCATCGCCAGGAAACCACAGAAGAAGTTCTGCTGATTTTGGAGAAACTGCCCACTTCTTGAAGGCTTGTGGTCTCTGCAAACGCCGTCTTATTCCCGGCCGCGATATTTACATGTACAGGTATTCTTCTTCTTCATTAGAAATTTACTAGTAATTTTTCTAGTGATATTTCTACATATTTTGTCTCCATTAATTTTTCGAATTTACCTTTATTGGTCTAGTGATATTTTTATCTATTTTGTTTGACGAAAATAAGTTCATGTTCAATTCCTCGCATAATAATCATGAGGTTGCTTTTATGAGAAACTTTTTTGTACCTAACGGTTTTTCCTCTTAATTTGCTCTTAGAAGTTTAGAAAGAAATATTTTAGATAATATGCTATTAATTAATTCTCGAAATCCAGTTAATAATTTTTGGACAAATTGAGGGTTATGTCAACTGTATGCCAGACAAGGTTATGGATTTGTTTTCACTTTTCTGTCAAATTAATTATTTTTCATGAACATTTCTTACTTCTTGCTTTTTTACCATTTTTAGTATTGATCTAATAATCTCCCCGGATATTTGTTTTTCTTGTTTTACTAGGATACGCAGTAAATATGCCAAAATTAGGAAATCGTATTTAATTAACTGTGACTATATATATAATTTCTTTTTCTTTTGCAGAGGTGACACAGCTTTCTGCAGTCTAGAGTGCCGGCAGCAACTGATGAATCTTGATGAGAGGAAGGACAAGTGTTCTTCCATCGCTGGACACCAAGTCTCCGCCAAAGGCGAAACCATGGTCGCCTTGTAGGGTTGTCGACCCGAACACAGAACCATCTTTGCGAGCTTTGCTCATATGAATATATAAGCATAGGGTTTTGGGGGGTGGGGTGGGTAGTGTGGCGTGGGGGAAGAGAGAGGGGGCATGGAGCGGGGCGGGCGGGGGCGGGGGTAGATGTTGGGGGAAGTTGTTAATTAGGTACGTTGCATGAAAAAAAGGGGAAAGATTTTGAAGCCCTGTAGTCTTGATTATATATGTGGATTAACCTCAAGTGTGTACTTATCATGTTTATGGTTTGCTCCCTCTTGTTTTCATATCGGTAGTACCGGAAGAAAATTGAAAATTTACAGGGTTAATTGAATCTTCCTTATATTATACATCTTTTTGTTTGATTTATTTACTGGGATTTGGATTTCATTTTCAGTGGCATATATATATATAATTGCTATTAATACTCCAAAAATCGCATTTTGTACTCCAAACTTTTTATAAATAAAACATATAATGAAATATTTGGAGTGCTAATAACAGTTTCATATATATATATATATTACTATTTGAGTGGTATCAAAGCCAATTAGTGAGAGAATCAATGCATATCTGGGTCGGTTGTGGCTTGAGTTAGATGGTAATTTTATTTTTGGTCAAGAATAGAATGATATTTTACAATGGTGGAAATATGTTGTGCTCTTATATAACGGTATGGGCTCGAACTCGATCAGTGGCTAATCTAACATCTAACTTATTAACGCTATCGCTTGACTCAAAAGAAAAATAAAAAAGTAGAATGGTATTGGATTCCAATAGATTCACTTTCTTTTGTAACTTTTGTAATAGTAGTACCCCCTCGATTTTCTAGTTTTTTTGTTTTTTAAGTTTATGTTTTTTACAAACAAGATAATTACAATAAATTTAACTAAGTTACAAAAAGGATATTCGAACTTACCTGCTGAGATGAAACATTCTAGCAAACTTGATTAAACCTAAATTAAAGAAAAACAGAAAAAGCTTCCCTCAAATTTCTATTTAATTCGTTGAATAAAAAAAGGTAAAAGAAATAGGTAGTCCAACTCAGAATGGAGAACAAATTTAATAAAAAAAAGGAAATTTTTATTTAAATCCAACTATCTTATCTTCAAACCCAACTTAAATATTTTTGCCATTAAATTCTTCATTTTGCCCCAACGTTATTTAGAAAGTAAAATTAAATTAAAAGAACACGAACCCACATATCTGCCCATCACTTTTCGGCGTCTTCTTCACTGACGCCGATGTGAATCTCTTGTTGCCAGCGTCTCTTAACCACCTCCTCTTTCATATTATCTCCCTCCTCATTTGTCCTTCTCCCTCCTCTGTTTCTCATGCTCTTCAATTACAACACCGGCGTCGGAGGCCTACAAGCATAGTCGAAACTACGTGAGGGTGAGGAGTGGCGGCCGCCCCTCCCTTCACTGGAAAACATGCCTAGGACCGCTTCGATTGAAGCTTGCACAGGTGGTGTGTCGTGGTAGTCCTTGGCTGAGAAAGAGCTCCTTCCTGCAACTTCCATGTCAGGGCGTTTGGCATACGTCGTCGAGTCCGTACAAATGGAGACCAAAAGCCGTACGTCGACGAGTGTGGTGCTTCTGCTGCCGTTCAACTACTTGAAGCTACGTTTTCCGCAACTCATTCAAACAGTCGGAGACGTGAAGATCAAGAGCAAGAATCCGAAGCATAGTGCTTGATAATGTAGAGGAGAAGCAGATTGAGAAAACTCAGGCGTAGAACTTCCTCTCTAGTTACAAGTTTTCGAGTGGTACAGAATCGGCAATGCGGAGAACCACAAATGTCTATGACCGAGAAGGGATGGCGGAGTCGTCGACGAGGAAGGCGTTGAGCCGAAGAGGGATCATTTATCTTCGAAGTCAAAAGTTGTGGAAACTGAATGGTGTGCCATACAAGGCGGTTGTGATGCTAAAAGAATTTGAATTGAAGTTGCCATGGAGAATCGCTGATGAATCTTCCGTGAGGTTTGAGGTGGAAGAGAACCACTGGGAGTGGAAAGAGATTTCAGTTTTGTTTATTTTTTTTTTTTCCAGTTTTAATCAAAGGGTGAATTAGGAATTTTAAGAAAATATTTTTTGTATTGAGTGTAGAAAGAGGTTGAATGAGCTCCAATAAAATTTCCCTAAAAAAAACTCAATCAAGTTTATGAATATTTTTTTTCTTTAGTCTAATGGTTATTTAAATTATGAATTGGTCAACATGCTAAAATCAGACCAAATGGCTAGCGTAATTTGTTGTTGGGGGGAAATTTTCAATGGATACACTGGTTTTCACCACATAACGCACTTCATAAAGCTAGCCTATGTATGAACTAAACTAATTAAATCAAGACGTGTGTTCATCGTTACACACAGTTGAATCATTGGAAATTCGACCAAAAAAAAAAAAAAGTGGAAATTAAGTACTCAAATCCTTTAATTGCTCTATATGATCTTCGTAGAGAGATGCATGATTTCTAACTAACAACAATTTTCATCCAAAAATGATTTTCTCACCACTAACATATAGATGTAGGGTCACATATATAATATCGTGGTCGAGTTTTTATTTATTTCTAGTGGGAATTGTGTGGAGTTGGGTGAAATTTGATCACCGCATTATTCATATTTAAGAAGATTCTGTTGCATGACATAAGAATCCATGATTAGTGCTTACATATGAGGGGAGGGAACGGGATCCCCTCCGGAGCATGGGGATCGAAGTTTGCTGAGCAATCTATTCGGGTCCTTAAAATTTGATTTAACGATCATAAATATGAGGTTTTTTTTTTTAAAATTATAATAATTATAGTATTTGAATTAAATTTCAAAGGTCCGAATGAATTGCTCAGCAGGTGCCTATCCCCATGCTCAGGAGGGGGAACTGGTTCCTGAGGGGAGGAATCTGTGTCCGAGTCAACTTTGCATATGGAACGGCCCCACTTTACAAAATAATAGAGAATTAACAAATTGAAGGAGAGGTTCATTTCGAAATTAATTGGAGACATTGGAAGGTGCACTTCTGCCCACTGATTTGATCTGGACTCGAGAGAGACCAAAGCCAAGGTGGGACCACCCTGTAAATACAGGTGTCCCCACATCTTTTGTCTCGTGGGCCCTAACTATTGGCTCCACATGATTTCTGATCTAACAACATCAGCCATGTGAGCTGGGTGATCGATCTCCAAACCCTACAGTGGCTGATATCTTAGGGTTTCTACTGCCTCTTGCTAAGCACAGAAATGTTTGATCCAGAAAAACAAGCAAAGAAACAGCATGTATGCGGAATATGAAGAGTTACAAAATCGAGAGAAGTTTGCTTACAACAAAATGTCATTAGGATAATATCTCAAATCAATAACGGTGAAAAAGAAAATAGTTCTTGAATAAAATTGAATGAGTGAAATACAATGATATGTTTGATGTGAACAACTTACCCACATAATTTTCTATGGGACCATACACAGCTGTTTTTTCTTCTCCAACTCCCTTATTTTTTGTTTAATAAAAGATGGATTATATGAAAATCAGTAGTTTTGGCATTTTCAGCTGCAACAAGAGGCAATGCTCTCAGGTGTATATTGGCTGATTCAAGGGTTTAAGGTTGTACGTTATAAGAAAAAATTAACTCATGTAAAGGCATTTGACCAAAAAAAAAAAAAAAAATCTTGCTAGCTCAAGGCACTTTACTCAACAAAAAAAATTTTTGCGGGACAAACTTGGTCAACACTTAGGTTTTTGTTATAGACTTTGCGTGAAAATATACTCGACGGGCAAAGTTAATTTTGTCGGGCAACGTTTTAGCGTCAAGGTAAAAAATTGGCATGTAATCAGCTTTTGGATCGTTGCTTGACGAATGATTTCATCAAGTATTATAATTGTTGGGTAAAGTTCCACTATGACCTGTCAAAAAACTTTCTAACACATTTTTTGCTCAACGATATTTTTATCGGGCAAAACCAAGTTAATTAAAACAAGGGGTGCAACCTTCTCTTTCTCCTTCTCTTTTCCCTTCTTCTTCCTTCATGCACACTGCTGCTCTTTGTCCTCTACAGTATGCACCTCTCACTTTCCCAACGGAAAAATAGTGTTTCGTTTGGCAATGTGTATATTATGATTTAGGGCTTAGGGTTTAGGATTCTCAATTTGTCAGGCAAATTGAACAATTTCGTTGGGCAAAGTAGAAGGATATTTTCGCATATTCAATTTCTTTGATGGATTTTGTAGTATGCGAAACTAATTTCAACGATCCAGCTGTCAAACTAGTGTGAATATAGTAAGAGACGAAAGGTTCGATGGTTACAAATGTACCATCACAATTTAACGGTTCTTTTAATTAGTTCTAATTTTGATGATTTTCTTACAACTACACTCCTCAACCCTAGAAGAATACAACAAACAAAACCAATCATCATTTTTAAACATTTACACTAGTGGCTACCACAAAATCTTATCTTCTATTTAGTAGAAGTATAGAATAAAAGTGTTTGTTGAATCTATTGTTTTTACAAGATACGCAGACTACGAAACTAACTTCCACTAGTATGAGATCATATACTCCAAAAATCACCAAAAGAAAACTTTCAGGGATTAGGTAACAGCACGAAATCTTTCGATGGTTAGAAAATAAAATTCATGATTTAACAGCTATATCACTTTAGATTTTGATATTTTTTTCATGTACACTAATTGAGGATAAAACTACACACTAAATTGATCTGATCATCAAATTTTTATGATTTTTAACCGTTTTAAAATAAATAAAATAAGTTGGGAAAAAACCAAGAGACCATTCATTATGTCTAATGGAGAAGGCCTTTTGATTCACTGCAAACCTTTGAACCTCATATGTTCCATCATAGAATTCTTTCTTAGGGCTAGTTTGGGATTGCTGTGCTTTTTAAAAAATAAAAAAATAAAAAATAAAAAAAATTCTTCTGCAGTAATGGTGGTGATGATAGCAGTAATGGTGGAGGTATGGTGGTGGTGTTAATAGTGGGATGTGGTGGATGGGGTGTAGAGGTAACAATGATGCTAGTGGCGATGGTAATGTCGATGGTGGCAATTGTGGTTGTGGCGGCACTAGTGGCGGTTGAGGTTATAGTGGAGGTATGGTTGTGGTGCTAATAGTAGGATGTGGTGGTTGGGGTGTAAAGGTAACAATGGTGCTAGGGGCGGTGGTAGTGCTAGTGGTGGGGATTGTGGTTGTGGTGGCGGTTATGGTGGTGGTGGTGGTGGTGGTGGCATAAATGATGGTGGTGACAATGATGGTAGTGGCGGTTATGGTTGTGACGGCAGTGGTGGTGGTTGCAGTTATGATTATGGTGGTGGCAACAATGGTGGTGGTAATGGCA